TTCGACCGTACTTTTTCCTGCCCACAGGGATTTAGTACGTTCTGACTCCCGATACGAAAGACTCGCCAAACAAGTAACAGTTGTACCGAAGATAAAAGCAATGCAATTACGAAGCCGCCGAGGGAATTACTCAGGGAATGTCTTTAATTAAATGTTGGAAGCAGTTTCCGAGCCTCCGTTAATGCAGAGACAATTTCCTTCCATCCACTTTTCGTTCGCTTCCACGGAGAGAAAGGAACATCCGCCGTGGCTGGAGAGCTACTTCTGCCACCGATGCCCCCCTCTACATACACCCACAACGCACGGTACCACCTTTACCGGCTTAACGAACTTTTAAACTTCGGCTATCTAACCGCTCGTGTCAACGTTCGCTCAAAAGGATCTCCTCAGAAATCGAATACCGACGCGAAACTTTCTTCATTTCCCACGCACGCCAGCCAGTCTTTAGACTGGTCAATTAGGATTCCAAAACGGAACAGCGTCCATTGTTATTGGCACTACTGTGCGTACGCGAGAGCTTGGCTAGGCTTGACAACTTCTCATGTGTGCACAGTACATGTTACAAACAATATCTGGATCACTTCGAGCCACTTTCTCGCGCAAAATCCATAAAATAGAAGTGGTTTTATCCTCGAGTTATTAAACGCGTCGAAAAACAATTCGCGATTAATGGAACGCATTTTGCAAATAATACGTTCCGGGGGTTGAAAAATACCGAGCAGGCGGTGACGGTGGAGCGTCACGGGGAGCTTTTTTATTCGGAGCACTTAATTTCCACGATGCCGGGGCGCCCCAAAGGCAGGTAACGAAAATAAAAACGAGGCAACGTTACGTAAAATTCTTGCGCTGGAAACGGCTGTTACGTCCTGCTACGTTTTAGCCGACACTCTGGCAAAACACTTCTCCCGTAGGTTTGCTTTTATTATGAGACATTTCAGGAGTTTGCAAAGCCGTGGCGGTCGGGGCCGGGGAGGTGGAGCGCGGCGCGAGGGGTTAGGGTCGGTTCGCGAGCGTATTGCGAGGCGTGACAAGAAATGTCACACGCTTCGGAAGGCATAACTACGCGTGAGGTCGTCGTGCTCGCATTCCACCGGTGTCACATACCGCGAGAGACGGACCGCGAACCTCGCAGAAATATTGAGCCCCTGGAGAAATATTGCCCTCGCGCCGCGTGACGTGCGAACGCGCTGTCAATTCGAGTAGCGTAAACCGCATTATTCGGCTCAGTAAGCAGCCAGGAGGGAGAGAGAGAGAGAAAAAAAAAAAATGATCGGGGAATTCGTGGCCCGCGACTAGCAATTTTTCATCGTAACAACCTCGGTTTAATCATCGATTAGTTGATGCCGCGTCGCGATTCCCAAATTCACCTGCTCCGGATACGCGTCGACTCCCGAGGGAAATATCGTCTGTCTACAATATAAATGTAAATGCGCAGCTTTTCAACATAGATAAAATTGATTTCGTCCCCGTTACTTTCCCGACGGTTTTTACTTTTATTTGCCCGAAATACGCTCCTGCCGAGCGTGCAGAGCAGGTATTTGCATCCTACAATTTTTTTTTTCTTGTAAAAGATCGCGCAGAGGGTCACAAAAGGGGGTGATTTTGTAACATGTGATAGCTCGTATTTGGAATAATTATTTCGAAATGTTGTCGATATTCTCGGAGAAAACTGATCGTTTTTACGCTACCAGACAATTTTCCAGTGCAGTTTAGAACGCAGTAAAGCCGGAATAGCACTGCAATTTTTACGCAATCGAGTCCGTAACAATGTTTCGCGGATTGTCGAATCTCGTTTTTAAATTTGCTCGTTTGCATTCTGAGAACCAAACTTGTCCGTTTAAGAGCTTTCGCGCGCGAAAATCTTTGGGGAGAACGTTTCGTTTTTCTATTACCGTGTCTGTCGACGGAGGAAAACGGAGGCTCGACGTTTCGAAGACGGAGATTTCCAAACGATCGCGCGGAGACCCGGGATCTATAGGTAAAACGTTCTTGTTCGACAAGGACGGGGACTCGGGATTTTCCTCCGTTTGGTTCCCTCTGTCCGCCCTTGTTCCTTCTCCTTCGATGTGGAGAGTCCTTGGAATACTCCGGCAGATCCCTCATATCTGCTAGGTTCCAACGCAATACGCGCATCCCTCGGTTTAACAGGCCTTAATCATCACAAGGACCTTCCTCGAGCCAAGCGTTTTCGTCCTGCAGCCGGTTACCGTGTACCCTGAAGCATCTCCAGTATATACGGTACCGTCGTACCACTTAATCACTCACCCCTTATGCAAGCAACTCTCTGGTGAACGTTTCGCGTGGATACCGAACAGGGAAAACATTTGGCTGGTTCAGCGCGGCCGTATCACACGTGGCGGCTTAAATACAGTTGGCATTTTAGAAAATATACGCTTTTTAAATATACAGCGATTGCTAGAAATTATCAAGTATATTCGTATTTATATACGAATTGGATTCGTTAGATCCAAACTGACGACTTCGAATTTTTTAAATCTGGTATCTGTGTGTGTGTATGATCAATTGCTTGTCCTTCTTGGAACACACGATTCAAAAGTTACAATGCAAATGACTGACAAGAGGATTAAGTTTATTATTAAATAATAGTGAATGATGTGAAACGTTTTTTATTAAATAGTTTTTAGCGATGGAAGATTCTAGAAAACTTTCTACGATAAATAGAACCGGGACTTTTGTAGTGCTTTGAAGTTGGATTTAAAAAATGCAAAAGTCATTTTTATAAATTGTCTCGTCAAATTTTTCACGCGCTTCCGGGTTGGCAAGATGCATAGAATATGCCTGAAATTACACCGCGTAGGAAGAAAAATGAGACCTTGGGGAGCTCTGTGCGATCAATAGGGCCGAACAAATGAAGCTACGAAGTGGGTTAAACAATCGTTATTTTCATACATAGAAAACACGACCTTAAATACCTCACCTGCTATCGATAGCAGGAAAAAATTTCACGGAAAAACATTATTCCATTGGAACGAACGAATATTTTCCTCAAGATCATATTTTTTCAGATTTCAGGATCATCGATAGTTATTTTTCTTAACGAGCACTTGCAATGGCGTACGAAAACATATCGAATGGTATTTTTGAAAAGAAAACATCTCTGTGCGATAGATACGTATGAAAATAACGATGTATGTATCTCTAAATTTCTATTATCTTTTACTCTTTCGTTATAAGATCGCAGAAGTTACGAATTTTCATATTTTTAATTAAAATCCGGGATTTCGGTTTACGTTTATATCCGAAATACCCGTTTTTTCCTCGAAAATTTCGTTTAAAACGGGATCCTGGTTGACAATCGGGTCTCGTCTCGGAACGGAAATTCGAGACGAGATTATCTCGAGACCCTAGACAACCCTACTTCGAAGTATTGATAGCGCGTCGACGGTTTCTCAAATAGTTATGCAACACGCGATCAGGGATGATAATTTTAACACTGTAGAAACTAAACACCTCCAGAATTTTTTATCTCATGCTAGATTAATTTCATGATAAAAACTATATCTCAACCTAAAAAATGTTTTCGTGTATCAGGATTGAAAAAATTCTCTTCGCGCTTCGAAACACAACAAATAGGTAAACTCGAAAGTCTCGTTTCTGTCGCCGATTTAATGGGTTTTACGGGAACGTGGGTTCCGTGAATTATTAACGCTTCTTCGAGGCTAACAAATCTAGACCGGCCCTAATGAAAGGGCAAACTGCGTGCTTCGTTTCCGTCCCACGTTTCCGCACCCTGGGAGCGCCCAATGCGACACGGCGAAATCTCGTAACGTTCGTGTCAAAATTTGCATAATTCGTTGTGATAATTAAGCGATCTGCATATTACGTTCCGCGTCATGTCAGTTTCTCTTTTAAGGGCAAATGGTCCTTGGCACGATCCTGAAGTTCCTCTTCCGTGCCCGCAATTTCTCCCCGCGTTTCGCTATTGGATTAGAGCGTTATAACGAGTAATATTCGCACACGCCCTTCCCTTCGCGCGCTCTAAGTCGACGCAATCCGCGATTTCGCATACGCGATACGTTCGCCACGCATAACAAAATAAAACCCTCGTCGATATTGGAAAATGCACGATTCTCCTCTTGCTCCGACGGACATCGAAATCTCCATTTTTAACGCGCCACGAATTCCGGTGTATTTGTTCCGGAAAATAAAAGAAAAATTTTAAAGATCTGAATGATTTTTAACTCGACGAAAGGGTCTAGTTTTCGGAGCAATTCGGGCCACGCTTTTATTATACACCTGGCGAAGCACAATAGCAACGAGAGCTTGGAACTTTGATACATCGACAGACGTAAGGGAGCGACGGGTTGGACGATATTAACGACGAGGTTGGAAGACGAATGCAGTATGGTCAAGTTCGGGAAGCAGCTTTGCGAACTTTCACCAATCAGCAGGTGGAATCCCGGGACGGAACACACTGACAATTCAATTACAACTGGGAATTCGTGGTCCGACCCTAAACCGAGAAAGTTTGGCGGTTTGACGCGGGGCCAACGGGGGGAGACTCGACGAAGAAGAAGGAGGCGACCCACACTTCTCCAAGTGTTATGCAGATTCCTGTTTGGCCAGTCATTAGATTGCAGGCGCAGGGTATTTACAAGTACGACAGTCATTACTACGGCTGTCTACCCCTGCACGCTTTAACTGTTCCGGAGAATGACCATCCGTGGGTCCACGGTACGCTTCGTCGTCTGTGTTATCCTCAGCTACCATTTCCTATGCTAATTTTATGCGCATTTTTCGCTGCCCCCCCCCTCCTCCGGTTAATCGGATAATTAGCTGCGTCATTAATACCTTGACAGACACGCTGACACGCCGATGATTTTCAGCGAAAGATGTCACGTTTAAAATACCTAGATATCTCCTTTAGTTGTGACGATGTAATAAATATTTTATATGCAATTCGTACGGAAAGCATATTCATTAAATACAATGTTCATAACACTCTATAGTGAATTTTGAGCAAAGACAAAGCTACTTACCGGCATAGTTTGGCTACCGTGTAAGGAATTGATTGCCGCTAGCGCTTCTTGATGTGATGAAAGTTTCACGAACGCACAGCCTGAAATTGAAAGAAATATTCTGTTAATCGTCTATAACAATTCATCCGCGTCTCGTCGTACGTGCATAATAAATCAAAAAAATACTCGAACGAAGGACAATTTTCGAATATAGTAACTCCTAGTACTCGACACAGGAAAAGATAATTTGCCTGTTTTCGAAGTGATTATTAAATTGTTTTCTAATTTCCTATTTAAAAATTTTTGTTCCCCCAACAGCAATAAAGAAAGTAGCCAATTCTCGAAGATGGTCCTTTAGTTCTGTATCGATCGCGATGTTGCCAATGACTATAAAATACGCTGAAGTGTAAGTTTTCCGGTTCTTGGCTTACTTTCGCGTACGGGAAACTTCGCGCCGCATAGTCGATACTTGGAAGACGTTAGCCGATTTAACTTCGCGAAGAGGATTCGCGGGAAGAGGAATAAAAGGAGTTCCGTTTCTGCCATTGTCGTGGAATCGAGACCATCCCCGGCGATGATGAAACGATTAAGCGCCCCTACTCTTTGTCACGCGCGCTTATCGTTATAGTCAGATAGAGACACGAAGACAAAGAACTCGAGGGTGCTTTGAAAAATTGACGCGCCAGTGGAGCGCAACGTGCACTTAATAAAAGATGTTTACCACGAACGGAGAAATGCTCCATAATCCGGGACACCATTCCTGGTTTAGAGCAATAACAGTGCGTATCGTGGCAAGAGCACAATACTGAAAAATAGCTTCCATCTAAACGCTATCGCTCTTCGTTTCAGCGTTTCAAAATAATTTCAACGGGGGTGAATTTGATATATTATTCAGAGTGTCTTTTTGCCCTTTTTATAAGCCGTGATGGTGCTTTAATATAATTTAATTATTATAACACCACATGTGTTCGTATTTAAAATAATTGATTCGGTTAAATTTGAAAATTTAGATCGGTAGATAGTATATCCAGAGATATATGTGAAAAGGCTGTGGCAGGTCTGAAGGGAATTAGGGCGAAGAGAGGGCTTTATTCCTGGAGTATGGCACGATAGCATCTTCCATATCTCTGTTCCAGTGCTGGACCTTTTCAGAATCTCGTCGCAATCTAAGACTTCGATATCTACCTTTAACTTCCGATCGTTATTCGAATGGTAGCAGGGGCTGGAAGACAATTTTAGACTGGTAATCGATATTCAAACTTTTAAAACTTCGTGAACCGTTCAGAAGTGTTCTAAAATTTCGAGAGACATTAGATTACTTGTACAAAAGTAAATAAAGAATATGCAATAAAATTTTGCAAAGAAGATTCCATCTTTTAGAAAATTGATTATCTCTATTCGTGTCGTTGTTAATCTTTACAAAATTTTTAATAGATGTTTAAACGAATATTGTTTGAACAAGTATAAAGAAACTGATAATGTGGTTAATTTTTACAGTTGTGATATATTATTTAACGTACAACAAACATTACGTACATGCAATCGAACCCAAAGAACCACGTACATTACTGCTTCGGAATGATAATGTGGAGGTATGGATACGGACTGGAGTTAATGGTCCGATTGTCGCTCTTTACATTATTTAACCACGTGCTCACGGCCACTGACCAGGTGCTTTCCAATCGTATATTATCATGTGGTCCAAATAAACTGTTTCAAGCTGCCTTTTTAGAAACCAACGAAGATATCTACTTCATTCGTTTCTATTACACGTTCTAATTAAAATCTATTTAGACTTTAATTCCAATTTCTAATAACTATAACTATTAGACTCCAGATTTTAATTCACAAAAAACTACAGACTCAATATGCAAAAATATAAGAGATATTTAACACGTTGACTGCCAGTCTGAAGTCCTAAAATTGTTTGCAAGACCAAAACTTTGATTTTAGTCAATTGTAAACTACAGAACTTAAAAGTTGTCCTAATAGTTACTTTTTAAATTTATGAAGCCTATGAAAATTTATTTTCATCAACGTTTCAACTTGAGAATTAATTGTTTTGTTTCCACTGTTAAAAGTTCTGTCGCTCATATATGGGTGACGTGGCAGCCAGCGTTAAAGCGAGATACGAATTATTTAGAGGCAGGCACAACCCTCTAGAAAGCTCTCGTTTCATCAATTCTATAAATAAAAACACGAATTTCCATAAAGATCCGTAGTCTAATAATCATCCCCTTGATGAGAGTTTTTTTTATTAAAGCCTAAACAACAATCTCGCGACTCGACGAGCCCGACGCCATCGAACTTCGAGTTCGCCGCGAATAAATTTTTCGTCGGTGCGCGAGGCGGGCGTATTTTATGGAGGAATTTGCGAGAAGAACGGCGAGGCACGATCAAACTTGGCGGCGAAAGCGATCCCGAGGCGTAGGTACGCGGACAAGATTTTCTTGCGATTCAACCCCTGTCGTTCGACGACATCGTAAGAATTTGTCCGAGCTTTCAAGGCGTTGTGGCCCATTCCGCTGTCCCCTTCTTGCGCAAGCGAGATCTCCCCGAGAGGCCGCGCTCCTGAGATTTTTCTTCGTCGCTTCCGAACCAGACAGGAGCAAGGACGCGAGGAATAAAAGAGTCGAATTTCTCGAAAGTTCGCGTTCTTACGTACGCGTGTGCGCGCGTGTATACGTGCAGTCCACGTTTTTCATACGGACGCGTGTACGTTCCCCACGCGGACACCCACGCAACGATCGTACACGTACACGTACACGTACACGGTCACGAGCGTCGCGTGTATGTATGTCTGTTCGACTGTTCCAGCGGCTCCTTCTCGTCGGCTCGAAAACTATGTTTGCCCCTTGAACAACGGCGAACAACAAACACTGGACAAACCGCTCGGCCCTCCGCCGCCAACGATGTGGACTATATAGTTTCGTGGATCTCCCCCGTTCCCATTTCGTCTCGAACCCTCTGTCGACCCCCTGCCACCCCAACGTTCCAATGTTCCCTCTTTCCTCTTCGCCCCTATGCCGCCATAGTCGATTCGAACCAATCGATAACGCCTGCGAGACTTTCCACTCATATATTTGATTGCTCGGCAAACATGTCTAAGTTTATTTTGCGGGCCCCTCCGCGCCCCTCCACCGTTCACGAAGCGTTAACGCGCGTTGCTTGCGCGGCTATACCAGCGAATGCCAGCCTTTCCGATACGCTGGCAACTCTCCAACGGGGATGTAAAGCGTGTTTCTCTCCTTCTTTTTTTATCATCCACGGAATTATTTGATCGTATTACAGCTACGTGTACTTATGGTTTTCGAAGGAGTCGCGGAAACGGAGGACGAGGACCGGTTTCTTTGGTTCAGTCGGTGCAGGTGATCTTGGGTGTTACCTTCGTACACCATATTTATTAAATCCTAATAGTTTAACTTTTACTCAATTTCGAGCACTTTCGTTCTATCACGAAGGTCGTTAGCTTTGTTTATTCTTGTCTCTTCCATACTTTGTGACTGGATTATTATAACCCAATTAGCCACGTACAGTATTTTCTCACTATATGCTCGAACTCTTCCCGCGGATATATGCTCCGTCGTTCCCATAACTGGGGTGAATCCCCCTTGGATGCACTCGAGCGACCATAATGTTACACGCCAGACTTACCTTTTACGAGATCCGAAGACTCCATATCGGTGCGATGATATTAATGCATCGGTAAAAATATTCCATTTTTAGCCCTTTCTGCGTGAAAATTTTGTAAAACCAGTCCAAACGAGTAAAATTAAATAAATCATTCTACATGAATGTGCTTGTAGTCGATCCCGAGCTGTGAGCTTATAGCGAGACAATACTGCACCTGTATCGTTTCACGATGATCTTTGCTCGAAGCTTCATACTTTTCCTGAATTATACCGATGATTTTTACACGTCTGTAGTGTAAATAAATGGCAGGGGCAAGCTTCCTTTAGTCACTGTCTGATTTTTCTCCGAGACGAAGTATTCCGGGGTAAATTTTGCACGATACTGAGCGTAGAAAAAACGCAGAACGTAGTCGAGTGCAAATCGTTGGTCCATATGCTCGATAACTGCCGTCGGAGTTACCATCGCGACACGTGGCGTGTGTGTGCGTTCGGGAACGGATCAAACGAATCAATTACATTGATGAAGCTATTAAATCTCAGCGAGTGAGACGCGAGCACGCGTAATTGGTACAATGGCTGGTTTTGCAAAGTACACAGGGCCACGGCTGCGCGTCGAAGCTAAAAAATAACGAAAAAACAGCGCGCGTAAGTATACGCCCATCTGTTTGCTCAACGTACGAGGGAAACAGAGAGAGAGAAAGAGGAGCCGCGAGACAAGCGAAAGCAGAGACGGGATAAAGGGCGGGGATTAAAAACGCTGACAAAGTTACTAACCACGTGTCTGCTCAGCCCTTTTTATATTTGCGAAGTGAAACGAAGGCGTACGGAGAGCCTCCAAGGATTATAAGAAGATACGTGCAGAGTTGGATGTAAATGTCGGGGAAGGAAAACAGAGAAAGGGTGGATACGGATACGCAATGGCGAATTATGTAGCCGTCGCAAAAAATTGGCAGGCTCGAAAAAGTTCTACGGGAGAAAACAGTTGTGTCATCGTGTAACAGGGACGAAGATGGTTAGAATTTGAAAGACAAATTTATTTTTCACTCGTAAACATTCCCTAATATTTTTTAACGTGCGTGCAGTAAAAGTATACTAAGTCGACCATTTATTTCTCATATTCTTTAAAATATCTCCGTCGTGAATGATTTATAGAAAAGAAACGAAGTCTCCAGTTGTGAAATTGCAAAGAACAAATTAATTTCGCTTCGAAGAGTTTAGATAACAAATATAATATTAAGGATGCGAGTGAAACAGGTTTCTTGTAGGAGGTATGCTTTAATACGGAGTTCTGGAATCTCACATGCGTCTTGATATCGCAAGGGCTCCCTCGATACGGGAAATTTGCGATATATTTTGGGGAGGGAAACAAATAAGACGTAAGTGTAAAACGCAGGGAAACGTGTAGTACCAGGCGAGACAGCAAGTGTAATGTGGAGACACGAAATGCCATTATAGTGCGGACACGACCG